ATGTTCTACCATCTTGAATCAGAAGATAACAGCCCACACTGCTGCCTCCACAGAGCTGCTCCTCTCCCCTCCTACTCCTCCTCCACAGATCGCCTACGCACTCTACCATGATCGTTGGAAGTAAAACTGCAACTGATCGTCATCAAAGATTTATTTTTTAATCCAAAGTCCAGACCACAAAATTAACAAACATCTTTTTAAAATATCCAGAGAAGTGATTGTTAGAGCAGTACTGTAAAACGTGCAGTATGAATACTGCAACAACCGCAAATAATGACATTTCCTGTAGTTTACATGAATCAGGAATTACGGCTAAAAGAAAATCTGAATGAAAGTAAAAAATAAGTAATATTATATACTTTTTAAAAATGCGTTTGAGTTCAACTCTCTTATTCAAGTATTATATTTTGCCATGTTCAACTAAAACACACTAAAAGCAAACTTACATTTTTTCTGCCATTTCTACACAGGCATTGTCTTGTTTTCAATTTACTGTTTTGCTAGTTTAGCTATTTCTGCTAATGCTTTTTAGCAATGGTTCAGAAAATACACCCGTTTTGTAGGTAGGACGATTGTTGAACCCTGCCCCCACATCTATACATTCATACCTACAAACTGATACTCTTATTACAAAGCTACGTATATAATTGAATAGCTTTGCTGCCTTTGACATGAACTGTTTCCATAAGTTGCTTGCAATGTTATCGTTACAAGTGGATGAGGTCAGTCTCTTGACCACTCCCAGTTACGACTGGGAAGCATCTGTTGTGAATAGGCCTCATTCTGACATCACATACTGGGGAGACAGACGGGCTCATGGAATTTTCAGGAAATGGGAGAGTCTTATAAAACTGATGAGATTCCACATCCTTGACACATTTACTAAGGGATACAATGTTATATGATTTTACCACAGACCTGGATTTGACAGCAGCTACAATAGTTTAACTGAAGTGAAAGACTCAACAAATGTTAAAATATGCAGAAAGATAAAAACTGTTTTTAAACTGAGTAACACAATTACCCTGTATTTCTTTCAGATTTTTTGTTTATCTTTGAAAGTTACACATGATATCATCCCAGCATCATCAGCATTATTCTGAGTCTCTTGAGGTCACTTCATCTTGTGATGAATACAGTAAATTCAAAGATGTTGTTCGATGCAAAAATCGAATCGAATCAAAAAGTGAGAAAAATAAATTCAATACAGTGACTCAACAATATTTCATATAAATCCAAATCACTGGAGAAAATAATAATAACAATTATTAGGAATCCAGGAGTGTTATCAAACAATATTGTTAATGTTCATAGTGTCAACTAGCAGCTCTCACTGTGACTCATCACATCTACCAAACATGCAGACTTACAGTGTCATGATGTTGGGGTTTTCTGTAGAGCTGACCATACCACTAATGTTTAGTACCTATGAAACTATTCCCCTTCATCACAATGTCACCTCACGTCACTTCCATGCAAATGTCACACAAAACCAATAACATGCAGTGGATTTAAACCAATTCCGTTAAGCCATTTTCTGACAGACAAATGCATGCACAGTCAAAATCACTTACCAAACCTCTGTCCCAAACAAAACAAATCAAGCAGCGTGTTTCCTATTAAAACTGTCTGAGACAATATACATTTTAACTAAATAGCAAGAAACAACATAAACGTATACACACTATAAAGATATCAAGGTGTGACGTCTCTGGTTTTCTAGGTTCCCGTGGTGAAGCTGAGGGCTACATCAGGGCTGAGGTCACAATCTCCAGCAGTGTGATGATTCTAAAATCTTCGAAGTGATCGAGGCAAAGAATATTTAAGGGATCACAGACAGACGCAATGCACCTGCAGTGACTGCGCTCGGAGAAGAGCAGTGAGCCAAGATGAAGCCCAGCCCATGCGTCTGTGTACTGCTGTGCCATCCACCCCTCCCCTACTATATGCTTCATCCACCCCTTCAGCTCAGCATAACTCAGCAAAAACAAAAGCAACACCAATGACCTACGTTTCTCCGGAAACAACAGTCTTCACTTAACACAACAGAAAAACAACACACAGAGTAACACACACACAGTCACAGGACCATTACCTTAAGCTTGGGTTTAGTGAAGGTGGACATGTTGTGAGCCTGTTTACGGAGCACAACATGGATCGATTGGTGGGAAGTGAACGATAGTGAGTGGGTGAAAATGAGAGGATGCTTTTACAGGAAGGTCACAGGAGGATTGAGAGTGTGGGATTTGATTCTGATGAAAAGATGTTCAGTTCGACATAAATGTAACTTTAGGAAGTCCATTCAATACTTAATGCAACCCTTCTAAGTCCCAATACATAGTACAGATATCAGTATGGACTTTCATGGTTAAACCATCATCTGCTTGTAGAGTAGGGCTGCGTACCAAACTTTGGTTCTTTGAAGAAACCAACCGAAAAGCTTTGGTAGTACTGAGTATCAGTGATGATATGATTATCATCATAATGTGTAATGTATTTTTCTTTTTGTTAGAATTGCTATTATAAAATTGATATCAAACAAAGTATTATTCCGGAACTGGTATCAATAGAAGGTATCGATATTGGTACTAGTATCCAAAATTTGAAATCGATACACTGCCCTAGTGTAGAGACAAGTCCACTGACACTGCTGTCATTCACCTGTTACTACTCACCTCCCGGGACAATAACAGGATGACAGCTGGGTTTTGTTTTTTTTTTTCAATAAACAAATCACCCAATCCACAAGATCTCAAAGAGCAGTGGGTGTAAGTCACTGCAGCAGCACTGTCTGCTTCTCTGTTTTTTTTAGTAAAATGGCTATTGTGAATGTAGCCTAAGAGGTAACTGTAACACTGTTTAAATGGGGCAGTGAAAGAGGACATTAATTTGCTTTGGGAAATTGTTTGGGGAGTATTTTAGACAGAGCAGCTGTCCTAGTTTCTGCCATTTTTATTCACACAGTTTTTACATCAGTAAGGAATTAAAGATCGACACTAACAGTTAAGGTTAGCACTTCTGGAAAAAAGATCAATAAATTCAATGACTTCACTCTTCTTCATATTAGGGTTGATTCACTTGTCATGTCAGACACATATACACAGGCTACAATGACACTTGATTATATAATTATATTAATTATAAATGTCATGACCAAGACAGGTCCATCTTAACCCATAAAGCTGTCTTTAAAGAAGCTTAAAGAAAACATAATAATCAGATTCTTGCCAATGGTTAACATCTGGGTTGTTTGCCTCTAGTAAATTGTTTTTATTTTTAGCATATTTGAAATCTTATTTATGGCTTGTTGTAGTCCAAAATAATCTGTTAAACGATTTTTTGATCCGGAGCTGTAATACCCCAAAAACAGTGCTTCCGAGTTTCCCCCCCATGTCTAATGTGTATCCTTCCTTCCACTGTTATTGTGTCACTATTTTGGAAACTGTACATCGAGACTCTCTGATTAGAAGGCCAGCTGGTATTCAAAGAATTTAGCAGTGGCGCACTAAACCAAACGCTGCCACAGTCAAATAACAAAGGTGTGAAGCAGTGTCTTTCTAACTTTGTCCTACAATGTCTTTTTATGAGTCTAAACAATAACTCTTTGACTATGAAATGTATCAGATCATTTTAGAACATCGTGTACAACATTAATCTAACAAACTGGAACAAGACATCAACTCCATCCAATTTTATAAAGGTCCTTGTTAAAATTAGACAACTTTTCTGATAAAAAAAACTTCTTCATGGAATGTGTAATGCCTATAACAAAGCTATAGCTGGAATATCCTGTCTGTTTTAGTATATATATATTCCTCAGTGTGTTGTCATTTATTAGACTGGACACATGTACTACTAATAATTGTAGTAAACCAAATGAGAGGTATCTCACATTTCCCACAGATGTGTGTTATATTCTTGTGTAACATCTCAACATTAAAGTATGGCATTGATTTCTGCATATGCAATCAGAAAACATAGCAGGCTCAGTTTATTTAGATTTTAGAAATTCAATTTCTTTCAAAAAAAAACTGTACTCTGAAATGGTTGAGTCACTTAGAGTGACTAATGACAGTTGATGAGACTGAACTTCGTACATTAAGAGGAATACACTGAGCACAAATGTTGGTGTAAATTATTAACAGATTGAGTCTAGAGCAGTGTAACAGGAGAATGAAGGACAGCTGGGTCCACATGTCCACAGCTCTCCTCCTGCTCTGGGCGGCTCCCTCTGTCCCAGCCATGGCGGACACATAGCTAATTGAAACCACATTTATCGACTTTATTACTGTCATACTTGTGCCACCGTTTTAAACTACATATCAAAGCTATCTGTATAAGTATAATACTTAGGAAATTAGACTTCAATAAGGAAAAAAAAAAACATTTTTAATGCAAATGAATGACCTATCAACGGGTATTCATACTGTACTTTTACGGTGTTTATATTTCACTTTTCAATTACGGACATTGCATCCAAACAAAATTAATTCAAACATTTCGATTAAGAATTTTTGAATAGACAATATTTTGTTTCTACGTCAAAACGTTGTCTAACTGAAAGCTAAGGAACGCTGATGCAGTAATTAGTCTATGCTAGTGTCAGAGGACAATTTAGAGGCAAATATAAAATACAAATACAAAATAAATTTTTTCAATTAAACACTATTATATTTTTTAAACCACAAAATTGCTAAAAGGTAATTATAACACCTAGCTACAAGGTTAGCATAGCTTGCCTTTAGCTTCGGCTGCAGCAGAGAGATAAAACACAGACCGACGTCTAACAACGACACCATTATTAACATATTCATATATGTCCCTAAAAACACACAAAAATCCTTACCTTTTTTGTTTGTTTTTTAAACAAAAGGTTGTACGAAGATAATGTTTTTAAGTAGGATCGACGACGAAGGATGCAAGATCGCTCTCTCGGACGGTGTTTTTTTTCCTCCTCGCCCAAACGTGACGTCAGCTTCTGCAGCTACACGAAAAAAAACGGTTAATGCCGAAATTAACCGAAGTTCGGTTCGGTTATAAAATGTGTTTACTAAGCTTGATTTAACTTATTACTTTTTAATTATTTCTTTATTTTTTTTCTTTTGGGACATATTTTCTAAAAGATTTCTTCATTTGTGCACCATTTGGAATTTTTTGTTGTGTTAATTAATGTTATATTTTTAAATCTAAGGCGAACTTTTTATAATGTGTTTTTATAAAATGGTATGCTTCATATTTATTTTTTCTACTTTAAATTGTTTTTAAGATTTCCTTTTTTTCTTCTATCAGCTTATTAACTTATTAAACATTTTACATTGTATCCCCCTCCCTTAACCTGTTCTTTACACCTTTAACATTTTTTTTCTGGTGATTTATTTTTTGTTTTTTGTTGTATATGGTTCAGAGCCATTTTTGACCTCTTGTTTACTCAATAATGAGATACAACGCACCTTTAGTTTACAGCACTTGTACTATTCTGTAGTGTTGTGCAACTTTTCAACAAATTGAAAAAAAAATGAAGACGTTTCACCTCTCATTCACGAGGCTTCTTCAGTTCTAGTTTTCTGGTGGGGAGTTTCCAGGTATTTATCTCGAGCCAGGGGATGCATTTCCTTGCATCTACGGGCTGCCAGAAATATACAAAGAAGCCACCTCCCAACACCCACTGTAAGCAGCATAAACTTGGTTACCTACAATATTGCTAAGTATCTTGCTACCAGTGGCGCTTTGGCCCAGAGGCAATGTCTCTGTCATTGGTGTGGAACCCCAGGGTTCACCTCCTGGGCAGGTTCGAATCCCAGTTAGGGCGGTTAATACCTTCCAGTGGACTCACCACCCGCAGGAAGGTTTGGGGGGGTTGGTACGGTGCAGTGTGATTTGGGTGGCGACTGCTGCCCCCGCGACCCGGTAACGGATAAGCGGATGAAAATGGATGGATGGATGGATCTTGCTACCATCCACTCTCTATTGGTGAGGGACACTCAATGGATTTCACCACCAAAATCTGACAGATCAAACTGAAGAAACCATGGTGTCATACGGTGTCACATCACTTTTCACCTGCATCACAGCTGGACATGAGGAACAGGCAGTAAAGAGAAAACTGCTGCATGATGGCAACCTAACATAAAGAACTAACCTCTCCCCTGAACAGTTGTGTGACCTTCTTGACCTATGTCTCAACACCACCTATTTCCAATATAACAAACAGACAAAAACACAGCTGTGCCATGGGATCGCCAGTTTCCCCCATTAGCTAATTTGTTTATGGAAGAGATGGAGAATATAGTCCTAACAGCTTTCAGAGGTCACTCACCGAGACATTGGTTCAAATATGTGGACGATACCTGGGTCACCATCAGGAAGGGGGAAGTTGAAATGGGGAACTCAACCTGGCGATGTATAGAAAACCTACCCACACCGATTCAGCACAGAGCCCAAAACATAAAACACAATCTCATACACACAGCACTCCAGAACTGTGGCTATCCAAACTGGGCGTTTGCCAAAACAGCCAAGACGCCCAGCAAGGAGAAGAAAGATTATGAAGCCCAAAAGAGGAATAATATTCATCAATCAAATTGTCATCTCATATGCGGCAAGTTTCAGAGAAACTCTTTAACACTCATCAGATCCCAGCGCATTTCAAGCCCAGCAACACACTGAGGCAGAAACTCGTCCACCCTAACGACAAGATTCCCAGCCAAAACAGAGCAATGTGGTGTATGCAGTGCGATGCAATGAGGAATGCTCTGACCTGTATAGCGGGGAAACCAGTCAGCCATTACACAAACGTATGGCTCAACACAGGAGGGCCACAACAGGTCAGGACTCAGCAGTCCACCTCCACCTGACAAAGAAGGGCCACTCTTTTGATGATTAAAAGGTGCGCTTTTTAGGAGAATAGATGGTTTGATAAAGGGGTGAAAGAAGTCATCCGTGTTAAACTAGAAAGACCATCTTTGAACAGAGGAGACACAACTTATCACCAACCTCCAATCCTGTCCTAAGGAAGTGCAACTGTGATTCACACCTCCATTCAGGTAACTCCAACGACCCCCACTCAGAGGTCAGAGACGGAGAACGATCCACTGTTGGGCCAACGACTCACATGACCATTTAACGATCACATTGTTTGGGCCCATGACCACTTTACTCAGCACCACTTTGGGGTGAATAAATACCTGAAATCTCCCCACCAGAAAACTAGAACTGCTGAAGGCTCTTGGATAGATTACTTACTTGAGGTCAGTCCAGTTGCCTACTTTAAATTGTGTTTGAGATTATTATGATGACCTGGATGACTGAGAATATCAACAAATATATTCAGGTAAAAATGCTGAAACCAGTCCAGGTTTTAAACAGTTAAAAAGACTCATCAAGCAGATTTGGACACATGCTGTTTTTATGTGCATAAATAAGTCAGATCTATAAAAGTGTAATAAATAAATAGCTTAACTACATAAATGGTACAAATATACAGTAAAAGTTTGTCTCTTGTGGTCACTGTTGAGTTTAAAAAAAAGGTTCAGAGGACATTTAACAAAGACAATTTGCATATTCTGTCACATTTGCTTTTAAAATAAAAATAATAATTTAATAATCTATCATTTTTTAGAAGACAATATTCAGGGCACCAGCACAAGATGGCTGGTAAACCAGATGGTAAACCAGTAAAAACAAGCCACATGGGTATCTTTGCTGTGAGATGCTGGTATGTTTTTTTTTGTTTGTTTGTTTTAACAGTCCCTGATGATACTCTTCAGGTGACCTTCTGCACTTGGTTACTGTCCGCTGCAGACAGGTGAGTATGTGTGCACGGAGCTGCCCAAGGTCACGTCTCCAAACACGTCGGCATACGTGTCTCTGAGGAACTGGACGTAGTTGTTGAGGCTCTTGTTGGTGGTGTCGGACTGTTCCAGACGGTCCTTCAGGTCCTGCAGCTGACTCTGGTAAAGTTGCTCCGCCTGTGTGTCACAAACCAATCCTTTTTTAACACTGATCATTTTCACAGATGGAGCAGAGAACAACATGTCAGGAATGAGGACAGTACCTCCTCTTTGCTGCGTCGCAGTTGGCTGATTTGGGTGTTGCTTCTGTTGAGCTGAGATTCCAGGTCCATGATCTTGGCTTGGTTAGAGAACTCTTTGGTAGCAACACGTTCTCTGGTATCAGATACCTAAAGATGAAGACAATGAGTCTGATATACACCTGGTACCTGGAGAATGTACTGTGTATAAACCATATGAAGAACATTAACAATGAAGCGTCCTGACCTGTCTCCTCGCATCATCCAGAGCGTCATCCAGCTTCTTTCTCAGCACAGTACATTCTTTCTTCTTCTCTTCTAGGAGGAGATGATTGCTGTGGACAGAGTTTTCTCGTTTGGATATAATACCCAGCAAGTTCTGGTTCTGACTGGTGGCCTCTTTCACCGCACTGAGAAAGGGATAGCATAAGAAAAACCCATAATGAATGGACGAGATGAGAAATTAAAACAAAAAAAAGAGCTGGATAAAAGTGAAGGTGACTGACGTTTCCAAACTCTCTACTCGCTGCTGCAGTTGCCTGTTCTCATCCAGAAGAACTTTGTTCTTCTGTCGACTCAGTTCCAGCTGGTTTCCCTGCGTTTCCACCTAAAAGACATGAGACAAAGGGCAGAGCAATGACTTCTAAGCACATGAAGAGTTCTACTTTTTTCACTGTACAATGAAAAGTATGCAAACCAGCATCCCGTTCCTGGTGGACAGTCTCCCCTGGTACCGAAGAGTCTGTACTAACCTTCATGCGTAGATCTGCCATTGTGGAGCTGAGTTCTGTTCCCCGTCTCTCCTGACAGCGTTCTCTGTCGTGAGCCTCGTGAAGCTGCAGCTCCGTTCGTCTTAAAACTTCAGGAAGTGACTCCAGGTCTGACAACCGTCCCTGCATTTCTCTGCGAACTATGGCTAACTCCTGCTGTAGGTGGTCCCGCGCATTCTGGGCTTCCTGCTCTGCCTGAGTCAACATGGCGGCGTACTCGTCAGCTTCAGCTCTCGTTTTCCCAACCTGGAGACAGAGGTAAATAATTGAGAAACAGAGTCCAGAGTGTTTTAAAGGGGTGGTAGTTGCTAATTCTTAATTGTTATTAATTACATAATTATTATTAAAAACAAACAGAAAGGTAAAGAGCTGTGACAAAGTACCCTGGTAAATACATGTTGAGGTAAGAAAAAGATCAATAAAAAGGACGGACTGTGTGTCTGTCCGTCCTTTGTCTGTCTCTGTCAGTATCTATCTGTTTGTCTCTGTCAGTGTCTCTGTCTCTGTCTGTCTCCCAGGCCACCTCTCATACCTGGATCTTGTAACTGTCCAGCAGACTCTCGTACTGTTTGACTGAGGCTTTGACCTGCTGAAGCTCCGACTGGGACAACGCCAGCTTCTCCTCTGTGGCTGAAACCTTGGCCTGAAACATGTTGACAATCAGGTGTCATCAGTGATTAATGTGCATCTTCTTCATAATCTAATCTAAGACAGGAAAAGCCCAACTAGGCTGAATGAGTGCACAGAGGACAGAGACACAGGATGGATCTAGTGAAAAGTGACATGCACTTGTTTCAGCCGTTTCACCTTGAGCGCCTGGTTCTCTATTTTAGCCGCAGTGCCCTCTGTGTTGAGTCCGTGAAGTCGTTCCAGCATAACCCGTCTCTCCAAGTTCGTCTTCCCGTCGGTGTTCTGTAGCTGCTGAGTCATCTCCATCACACGACTGAGACACAACAAAACAACTACAGAATTATGTTTTCCAGGAAAAGAAGCCTAAATAAAATGACCTGCTACAACTATGTTCCAATAGAACCCCCTAGTGTTGGGGCTGGATATGACATGTGTGATAATGTATGTCATCAGAAGGTGAAGACATTACAATTGATCCTTCTCATCAACCAACCTGTATCTTACTGACAGATAAAAGTGACTCTTTGGCTAAATTAACTTTTTCGCAGCTGTTGATCCGTCACCTGTTCATCAGAGACACCTTCAGCTCCAGGTCATTTTTCTCCTTCATCAGTTCATTGTGATGTCTTTGCCAACATTCAGCTGTGGACAGAGCATCTGCCATCCTCTTCTCCTGATCAATCACATAACAAAAGGAAGCTAATTCATTTAATTAGAATATTTCATGTGTGGAGTCATGTTGGTGTGAAGGATCTGCTTCATTCACTTTTAATTCTTTCTTCTTCTCCTACTTTTGTTTTTCACCATATACTCACAGTTTTCCATGTGTCGGTTTATTCACTACATTGTTACAACGTATATTTTCTTTCTACCCAGTTTATCACATTAAAAATGCATTTTCACAATTATTTTTAACAGTTTATTTCACACATTTGTACAATTTCAATTCAGTATGACGAAGTCTTACCATGTCCATCAGTTTAGTGCTCAGCTGACCCGCGGTCTGTGCCTGTTGTTTCTGAGCTCTAGCAGCTCGTTTCAGAGTCTCCCGTTCTACGTTGGCCTGTTGCCTCTGTCTGGTCATTGTCTCCTTCAGACGTTCCATCTCAGATCTTTGACGTTCAGCCGCTCGCTCCAGGTTCTGAACCACAACCAGGAAACAATAAAAAAAAGTCAGTTTCCAGAAGGATGAAGTAAATGAATATTAGAAGGGAAAAACAAAGAAGAATGAAAAAGGATGAGCTGAAAAACCAGAACAGGATTCAGAGAGAGAGGAGTAGGAAGAAGAGGAAATTTAAAAAAAGGAAGAAGCAGAAGTAGTAGTAAAATTAAATGAAGTAGAAGAAGAAAGAAGTAAACCAAGGAGATCCAGAAATAAATGAAAAAAAAATTAGATAACGTAGGGGTAAAGCAATAGTAAAACTGCAGATGTTTTTGACTCTAAACACTTAAGATGACTTCACTCCAGGCTTTTTCCTAGATGTAGACCACACCAAATAAAGTTAAATAGTTGATTTCTCTGACACACCTTGATCTGCACACACATCCTGTTCTTCTCAGCTTCTTTGCTCCTCAACTGTCCCTGTAAATGAGCTCGTGTTGACTCCAAACTTTTAGACCAGTCTGACGTGTTCTTGATGTTGTCCTGAAATGTAAAGAAAGCACAGAAGGAACAAATAGCATTGAATTGAGTTAATGTAAGTCTAAGGCCAGGTCAGCATTTCACGGTTAACATAACCTTTACACTTACAATATTTTTCTTTAGAAATATTGTATGTATTCTCTTAATTAATTTGCCCCCCCCCCCGAGTTAATCCTTCACACCCCACAATTGTGCCCTTTGACCTCAGAGTACCTTCTCAGCATCCAGACGTCTGCTGAGCTGATGCATTTCTTTATCTTTCTCCTGAAGCTTCAACATCAGACGCTGAAACAAATGTTTCATCCACATGTCACATGACAGAAATCAGGGTGCGGGGATATTTAACATTAGGAAAAAGGTGTTCTAAAACTTACGGTGTTTTCAGCCTCTGTGTCCGTCAGCTTCTTCAGTAACGTTTCCTTCTGCTCCGACAGTCGTAGCGACTCCATCTGTTCCCAAATGAAAAACAAAGTCAGAATACACATGTATTTATCAGGGTTTTCAATTCTGCTTTAAGACAAAATTAAATTTGGTGTTACGAAATCTGAATTTTAATCAAGTATATTTAGGATATGATATGTGAGCGGTCCGTACCTTGGATCCATGATGTTCTCGGAGCAGGCGCCTCAGTTTGTGATTCGTGGCTTCAAAAGCTTCCAGTTTCTGCAGCAGCATATCTTTCTGATGAGTCAGAACTGAAACCTCAGCGGCCGTCGGCCTCTGCAGCCACACAGAGAGAAGACGGAGATAAAGCAGTGCATCCATCAAACTAAGACATAATTTCTGGATGGACAAGTAATCGATATTCTGACCAAGTTCATACTCACAGACGCACAGCACAGTTTGGACACGGATTCTCTCAGGGCTGAGATCTGTTTGGCTGCTGCAGCGCCATCTGCTTCAGCATCCATCAGTTTCTTCAGCAGAGTTTCCTTATCCTGGTGAGCTCTGTCTGTGTCCAATCGGCTAAAACTAAAGACAGAACCCAGAACAGATGAATAAAATACTTCTACAGTCCAGTTGCACAGCACTTGTTCATATTTGTTTCTGCAGAATCTGAAGTCATATTTATCCTGTAATTTGGTTATGTGACCAAATTCACATCTAACCCACAATCCAGTGTTTGATTTAGTTTTAGGAACAACTTTTAAAGGGTGTTTTTGTTTATTCCAGCTATCTGTGTTTCTGCTGCATTGGAGCATACAGTAGAATTTGGTCTTAATTTCGTCTTAAACAAACTCATCTTGACCTGTGACCTAAAAACTGTGGTTCATAAACAGCAGACAATAGCAGACCGTCTTACTCATCAATATTAAAAAGGCTGTTGCAATTACAAACAGTCAGCACACTTACATGAAATGACAATATATGTAATATTTTAATGTAGGATTAAGATGATGCAACATATTTGTAAAGACCATGGACATGCTGTTACACACATTAATTTGTCAAAGGATTGACGATATAAATACAGGTAAATCACTTGGTTTAACATTAGCTTGGCTGTTAGCCTGGTCAGGAGCAGGTTAGCTGCAGAGAATGAATCACCAAAGTAACTTGGCCAGGTCAGCTTTGTCCTGCTTTCGTGCAACCGACTTCAAAATAAATTCAGCCAAGATAAGCAAAGTATCCTGGCTTAATGTCTCATCTTGGTTTTTTGCAATTTTGTGCAAAAAAACAAACCAAACAAACCAAAAAAAAAAACCAGTACCTGCGGTGTCCAGTGTCCAGTATCTTCTCCATGGACTGCCGCAGACGTGTGTTCTCCTTCTCCGTCGCTTCCAGTTCTTTGGTGACCTCAGTCAGCTCCTCCTCCTGATCTGCAATCAGCCTTTGGGAGGCGCTCAGCTGCTCCCAATGACGATCAAGCATTTGCTTCCGCTTCTGTCTCTCCATCTGCACAGACACAGATTTGTAAATACATCAACGATTCACTTGGTTCCGTAACAAATCAATGGTAAAGAGACGAGAAGAGTCTGACCTCCGTCTTCAGAGAGGCCACCTCGGTCAGCATGTCGTCGATCTTCCTCTCATAATTGTTAATTCGACCATGAAGTGCCTCCTCCTCCTCTAAAGCCAGGTCAGTCAATTGCAGAGCAGAGGAGGAAAATTGAGGCTGCGAGTCATGCAGCGGTGGTAAGATCTCCAAGCGGTGTGTGGGACCCTTGTGCAGATTAAATTAGTTAGAAGTTCGAGTCAGAGAAACTAAAAACATGAAGGGAGTGGAGTGAATTTGTCATTTTACAATTGTTACCTCCCACTTGAACGAAGTCTCGCGTGTGGACGCTTTTCCTGGAGGCACCCATGGCACTCGGGTTTTGACTGTGGCTGTAGGACGGAGGGTCGCTCTGTCCGCTCTGGACTTTCCCTAAAAACAGTGCCAGTCTTGTTGTGGTCTTTCATACAGTTGTGGGTAATGTGCTTTTTTATTGCATTATAACAGCTGAATTTCACCACTTTTTGTATTTCTGACCTAAGGAACTGCTGCAAACAATAACTTTAACAATTTTGGGATATTATGTAGCTATCCTTGTCTGCAAGTTAGTAATGTTTTCCAGCATTTTTATATTTGTTTAATATTCGGACTAAGTTCTACTTTTGTGTGTGTGTATGCAGGACATGTTAAGTTTAAAATGAAACTAGTAACCATACAGTGTGCTTACTTTGTTCCAATTCTCCTGAGGCTACTTTATGAGTATGTAGCCAGGGTAAATTAATGTGTGTGGCACATGTGGAGGCACTAGATGATAAGGGTTGATAAAAAGTCAGAACCTCTGCTTTTATAAAGTAGAACTCATTACTAATCGACACATAACAGATTACTACATAAAATAGCCATAATAAAATGTACGTCAATGACAAAAATACATTACTATACACTTCTTACCTGAGGTGTTACGGCCGGACTCCTTCTGTTGTTCTTCACGTGCACATGAATTGGTGTGTTATCACTGACGTGCACGTGAACTGGAGGTGAAGTCGACCGGCTCTTCATGGCTTTCCTCTGCAAAAGAGTGAGTGTTGGTGATGATGACGATCTACAACCAATCAAATTCTTCTTACTGGGGTTTATTGACAGAAACGTACCAAGTCTCTGTGTCAACACTTATTACACAGAAAGACAGAAGACAGGAAGAGGAGCTGAGAGAGTAAATTCAGAAACATCACTGTTGCTGACTGACAAGTGAAAGAACAAGAGCAAGTACTTAGTGCTCAGTACTCAGTTATCACTCCTGCAGACACTTCATGTCACTTTGATAGGTTTGAGCTCACTGGTTTAAAACTATCACACACACAGATTCAATACAGACGGAGAGACTCTGAAAGATCAGGAAACATGAGCCATTCTCCCCATGTACATAAACAAAAGTGGGAAAACAACTGTCTGGAGAATTATTTAATAGTAAAAGAAAAATCTTCTAGACACCAGTGACTGACCATCAGTGATTTGGATTTCGTCCTAATCCTGAGAGTCGGTCCAGGATGGACCGCGGGACCGGAGTATTTGAAACCGTAATTTTGATATATTTTCACACAGTAATGAAAATAAACCCTAAAAACTGCATTTTTAGCATAAATGCATTGTGAGTGCACAGTGTGCTTACCATTTACTTTGATCAGTTCCCACTTTCATCTGACATCAGCAGATCAAAGACAGCAGCACTTACAACTTCCTGTTGGAGATGAGACCAAGACCATGAGGCCAACATAACCAAAATGTTGCACTAGTGGGATCATTGCTGATGTCAACTGGCATAAAACAAAAAATGACATGACATCTTTTCCAACAACCCTTCTCATGGTTCCTTAAAATGCTGGGAAAAGCCAGTTGAAATATTTTGTTGACTTCTATAGTTTAATCTAAGATAATGTCATCATTTCATGAACCCGGAAAAATTAGATGAGCAAAAATAAGTATACATGTAGGATTTATACACTACGCACACATTTAAAACAATAAGCAGTGCTACGTCAAAGCGTACGTCAAAGCCTGGGAACTATTGAAAGAATGTTTATATCGCTACATAATGAATCTATACAGTTTAGGACACCGTAATTCCATTTAACCATGTCGCGTTGTTAAAAACAATCGAAAAGAAAACTAGTTAACTAGCATAGCATGTATTTTGATAGGCCAGGATATAATTCGGATTATTATTATTTCACATCAAAACAAAGAAATTTAGCTTTGCATTAGCCTTATTAGTATATAAGCTAACCTTGAGTGTAGTAGCATTACTAGCTTTCGTGCAACTTTGGAACAAAAATCTTTCTTACCATTAAAAAAAACTAAACTCGAGGTAGGAGATAATCAAACACGTAACGATACCATTATTGTTGTACTTAAGTGTTGTGCAGCTGTAAATAAGTTGTGAAACATAAAAAATCGTCTTCAATGAAGGTTCACTTCACGCAAAGTGAGCTGAACTTTAGGAGCTGGAGACGAACTCTTCCCTCTGATTTGACGGTTTTAAACATGTGTTGAGTATTCCCAGCTGTGATTGGTCCACATTGGTCAGTTACGTCTCCTGGCAACACGATTAAATCAACAGGCTGCTGACAGTTGGATTGTTGAAATAGATATTTATTTTAAATAGTTTCACTTAGTTATTTGCACATGCACCAGAAGGTTTTAATGCCATCATAAAAGCTGTAACTACTGATCCCTTTCAGCGTACAATGCAAGGTCGAAATTATAATGTCCGTGCCATTTTAATCGAAATTCATTACTATTATATTTACAATCTTACTATTATTATTGTTGTTGTTATGTTGTTATTTTTATTAATGCTATATATTTTCCTCGGATGGAGAGTATCCAGCCATAGGCAGATTATGGCTTGGATTGGTTAAGACTTTCTGGGATCCTGAAAAGAATACAGCAGTACGATATATTTATATCTTATTTCTTCCAGTAAATAATTATGTATACGGGACTTTTACAAAAGCAGAACTTTCTAATTAATTAAACTACATTTGAACAATTCCTGTACGTTGATAATTTTTTTCCCCATGTTTTTTGGATGGTGAATGCAGCACAGTTTTGGTGTATTCACCAATCAGAGAGCATTAAAGTCTGAATGGGCGGGTTTCCTGTCGGACAGTGACAGTGGGCTTTTAACAGCACCCAATAATAAAGTAAATACATGTCGATTTAAATTGCTATGTATGTGCTATACTAATACTATTTTCAATAGATTTTGTTGAACTGAGTAGGTAGCCCACAGTTTATTGGAGCAGTTTTCTCGGGTTTAGGCATCGTTTACATGACTAGCAAAGGTAAGGCTAAAGTTGATAAGCTATCTGATCTTAGCTTGTCTGCTTTGTTTTTGATAGGTCGGAAAATGTGATTTTAGCTTTAAAAAGCTTTGTCATTTAAAGGTACCTTTTTATCTATATTAAAAAGTAATTCGTTGTAGTTCATGAATGCTTTCCCTTTAAGTATCACTTTCTGTTCGCAGTACACAGTACACGTCTAAATAAGCATTTCTCCATTACACGTTTAGGATAATTTGAACTTTTATTTTTATTAAAATGGGCTGCTTACATAGAACACAGAAATGTTATGGTTTCCTGTCAAAACGGTACATTTAAATTCAGAATACACTGCCGCATCTACTTTTAATATTCTAATTTTAATTAACTTTTTAAAAATATTTTCAAGCAAGATTATTACACTTTTTTGTGATGTCATAAAGACTTGGATTTCTGAGAGTGATGTCATCAAAGTGCACAGGTGTCATTAGGTTTTTCTGTGTCACAGGTCTTTGCTGCGTTTGGCACAGAATCCTTTGAGGGTTGTCATGTCAGTCTCTGAGGAGCAGCCTGAGAAGTAAGATGTCTGTGTGTATGTGTGTGAGAGCGAGAACTTATAGCTGCAACAACTTTTCATGTCAATCTCTGGGTCTTGTTCATGTCATTATTAAAACTGCTTTAAAATATCTGCTGTTCTGTTTCTCTGTGTGTGTTCTACACAGACACTGCTGGGTGTGTTTTGCCACAGAGAGAGACGACCACAATGCTGAGTGGGTGAGTCCCTGCAGATGTAAAGGCTGTACGAAATGGATCCACCAGTCATGTCTGCAGCGCTGGCTTGATGAGAAGCAGAAAGGAAACAGTGAGGAGACCGTCAACTGTCCACAATGTGGCACTGAGTACAATGTCATCTTCCCCAGCATGGGTGAGTGAGCAATGCATTAAAAATCTTTCACCAACAAATAGTCAGAGTGAGTCACAGGATAACTTGATGTTTCGTGGGTTACTTCTTTTTCACCTTCTTCCACCTTAGGTCCGTTGGTTTACTTTTTACAGCAGGTGGACAGAGCGCTTTCTCGAGCAAGTCCCTTTGCTTCAGTTGGTGTTGTGGTGGGAACTGTTTACTGGTCAGCAGTTACATACGGAGCAGTGACAGTCATGCAGGTCGACCTAGAGCCACAAATGAACAAATACAATAGAGAATCTGCTCCAGTCAGTTTCACCCTCTTTATCTCTGTTTTTTATGATCAGGTGGTGGGTCATAAGAAAGGTCTGAATGTCATGGAGCGAGCTGACCCACTCTTTCTGCTGATGGGACTACCCACAATCCCCGTGGCACTGGTTCTGGGGAAGATGGTTCGCTGGGAAGATTATATTATGAGACTCTGGCACAGATATTCCTACAAACGCAGTTTTCATGCTGGTACCTTAATGCAGCTCATTGCTCATTGATTATAGCTCTAGATATTCTCTAAAAAAATTAAAAGTAGTATAAATGAAAATTTAGGTATTGAGTCAAGGTTTTTTCCCATAAACTTCAGGAGGCAGTCATTATCTGCCACGGTTCCCAGGTGAAGGACCAGGTCAAGGAGACCATCTCTCTGTGTCTAGGACACTCTGCGGCGCCCTTATCTTTCCCACTGTGGCCAGTCTGATGGGACGACTACTGTTCCAGCGTGTACAGTCTGACCTGCAGCGAACTGTTCTGGTGAGTAATTCTTGAGAGATCTTGCCTTTGTATCAACAGTTCAAACCAGTGGTTCAAACCAGTACCTTGTCCACTTTTTCCAGACTTTGTCCACATTTGTATTGTCTTCAGACTTAATCTGGAACCCAGTGGAATTATTTTACAGCTTTTCCAACAATTCTGCTGACAATGTTTATTCTAAATTTTAATGTTTATGTATCATCACACTCTCCTAATAACTTCATTTTTTTTCTATTTTTTTCTGTATTGTACACTCAACATACTTGTCCTTGTGGTAACACTTTGCCGTTTCCTCGTCCTCCGCAGGGTGGCATTGCCTTCATACTGATCAAGGGTGTGCTCAAGGTTTACTACAAACAGCAGAAATATATTGTACAGGCAAAGAGAAAAATCCTCAACTACCCTGACAGAAACGGAGAACCACACAACAATACTGGGGATGAAGACACAGAGGACAGTGGAAATGAGTAAATTTAAAGATATAGATAGATATATTTTTTTACTGTACAGCTGGCAGCAAAACTCAGGAGGGGCCTTTGGGGCAAGAAGATAGTTAGTTTGATGCCTTACATTAAAAATGACAACAATCAGAACAAAATTATTCTTAGTTCTTCACATTTGATCATTCTTGTTGTAAAAAGTTAAAATGATTTATTTTCACACTTTAAATATTCCGCCTTGAAAAAACCTAAAAGTACTTGGGTAGGAGCCCTGCTTCATAGACTTATACATCTTGTACAGCATATTTCAAATATCCAGCCAAAATAGAACTGTAAAAGTTTAAGTTTAAAAGAATACTTCAAATGGGGACTCAGGGCAAAGCCAGTCATTTCCTGATATAACTTCACCAAAATTGCTGCTGGATGTTTATATTTTTGTTGCACTTTGTGATGCTGCATGTCACAAAGCTGATGCAAGATAAAAATGAAAATGTTTTCTTATTTTTTTTGAGAACTGTGTGTTTAAAGCTGAATGTTGAAAAGGTGACACCTGCAGTGGTCATTATCACAAAGACAGGAGAAAGTTGTATTCTCTCTTTGCCAAATGAAAATGCTCTTTAAAAGGTGACTTGATGGTTACCATTATATCGGTCTGTGGGTTCTTGAATTTTATCTGAAGCTCTTTCTTTATGTCCTATAGAATAATTTGTTTAATAAAAATTTCTGACAACAAAATGATCAGTCTCTTTTCTACCATGTTAACTTACTTACACAGTGAGAATTAGTGTTTGTTAATTTTTATTGTTTAACCGCCTTTTATGTATTTTCAACCTAATATATTTAATTTCAACTAACCATTTTTAAACTTCTAGATAATGTTAGAACAGAATAGTATTTATTGTTTACTAAGTATATTTCGGTATGCAATGCAACTACACACTAAAATGTGTAGCAATTGCTATTTTTGCTTATGTTTTAATATATTTTCATACAAAATGTATGTACATTATGTCGCACAATAGATTTAATTAATTACGAAATTATAACTAATACATGGATGTTGTCACGGTAAGGCTAAGGCAGCCATTTTTCTCTCCCATACCATGATGAAAGAAGATCGACTATCTGGATCTGTGATTGGCTTAGGTTGAGAGAGAAGTATAGTTCATTGGTTGCTATGAAAGTTTACGCCAATCACATACTGGTAGAGGGCGGGTCCCCGATTCCCGGGGAGACAGGAACGAGGAAGCGAGGAAAGCAATAACAAAAAAACACACTTAACAAAAACACAATGACATTAGTCAATTTTATTTGATACTGAGGTCTTTGGACAGACGTCGTTACGGTGTTTAATCATGAAAAGAGTGACACTGTTTGTTAACGGAAGCTCTACCAATGGAAAGGTAAGAATGAAAACAGCCGATTTTTACGATTAGTCTGAGCGCATAATAACGAATTACCGTGTTTTAGGTGATGTGAAGATGTTAGTGTTAATTTTGTTTTACATTCCATCTTCAATATAGTTTTACATAGTGTAATTCTGTTAAAACCAGTAGTGTAACAACATAATGTGGTTTATGTCAACCGCTACGTGAACAGTTGTAGTTACATGTTACATAGGCTTAACAAGATGTTACACAGGTAGTGGCGGTGTACGGCTCCATGGAGGATCTAATGGCCGCAGCCAGTGCCAAGCTGGGAATCAGGGCCTCTAGTGTGTATAATGTGAAAGGCGGACTTATCGATGACATCACGTTAATCAGGTAAGAAAGAGACAAATTGTAGTCAGCCACTTTTATTGACTTTGTCTAATAACTGTTTTTATTTACAGAGATGATGATGTGCTGTACGCATCAGAAGACTCATGCGATGGTAAGGAGTAGTTCAGGTTCATTCAAATCTGGATGCAGTGTTTTAAAAAAAGTTTGAAGTGCCAGTATACTTCCTATGAGTCATATAAGACAAACAAAAAACAAAAAAACAAACACATGTAAACGTACTCAGGAACGACTCATTGGATCAACATCACACTTGACATGATATCAATGTAAGGTTATACTTGTGAGAAACGTGTGCAACATAACTGGTGTGTGTTTGTAGATTCTCAGGATGACCTCAGAGATCCTGAAAAGGTTCAGGCTCACACTGATTGGTTGACTCTGAACGTGGGTGGGCGCTGCTTCACAACCACCAGGTACAGTTTAATAAAACATGCACCGCTGACCTGTGAATAATGTGTTTAAGTAGTGAGACGTGGCTGATGCTTTTTTTCTCTGTGACATACAAATTTTTCATTGTTACCACAGGAGCACACTCGTCAGCAAAGAGCCTGAGAGCATGTTGGCGCACATGTTCAGAGAGAAAGGTGATGATGACCCCTACATGAGGCTAATATCAGTGGCTGCACTGCTCCTCCATTTCTGTTTCACTTAAATCCTGACTTTGCATTTAAATTCAGATGTGTGGGGAAACAAGCGTGACCCACAGGGGGCGTACCTCATAGATCGCAGTCCAGAATACTTTGAGCCCATCCTGAATTATCTCAGACATGGACAGCTCATCATAAACGATGGAATCAACCCACTAGGTACAAGACACACACACACACATGCACGCAAATGCCTGAACTTGTATACTTTTCTGGACTGTGTCCATTTCTCACTAGTGTTGCTCCCCCTGCAGGTGTCCTGGAAGAGGCGCGTTTCTTTGGAATAGAACAGCTGGCAGAGCAACTGGAGACACTTATTAAGGTGTGAGAACACAAACATCCAACTTTTTATGTCTTTGGCTGAAATTTCTTTTGAGTTTGTCATGTGATGTCTGTGTGTGTGTTTGTGTCTTCATTCATGATCAGTCTTCACAGCCGCCTGATGACCACTCACCTTTGACCCGTAAAGAGTTCATCAGGTTTCTTTTAGCAACGACGACCAAGTCTGAGCTGAGATGTCAGGTTGGTTTGATGTGTTGACTAACTTTGGACAATCAAACAAAAATCAGAAAAAGTTGTCTTTTATATAACTTTTGGTCAAATTACAGTATTTTGTCAACGATGTGTTTTCTGCCCAGCATATAACTTAATGAAAATTATAATTTTGTGTCTGGGATTTCCACAGGGTTTGAATTTTAATGGAGCAGATCTGTCTCGACTGGATCTACGCTACATCAACTTTAAAATGGCTAGTCTGAGAGGAGCTAACCTCATGCACGCCAACCTGAGTGGAGCTAATCTGGAGAGAGCTGATCTGTCATTGGCCTGTCTCGATGTGAGCTTTCTCTGATTGGACATCATTGAGCTGATGCTGTTTAAATTCTAAGACTTTTCTGCATCTTTGGTTATGACTGTGACAGGGAGCAAATCTGCAGGGAGTAAAGATGCTGTGCACCAATGCCGAAGGAGCTTCACTGAGGAGCTGTAACTTTGAAGATCCTGCAGGAATCAAAGCAAATCTGGAAGGTGAAGCAAACACACTCAAAGACAGTTGAAGATGAGTTCTGACATCAAACTACTTTAAGTAGATTAGTTAAGGTGTGTGTGTGTGTCTATGTCGATGTGCACAGGAGCTAACCTGAAGGGTGTTGATATGGAGGGAAGTCAGATGACAGGGATCAACCTGAGGGTCGCTACACTGAAAAATGCCAAACTGAAAAACTGTAACCTGAGAGGAGCCACACTGGCAGGAACAGACTTGGAGGTAACAGTAATTCGCAGACGAGTTTTTTTTTTTTGTGCATCCGTGTTTTTCCTTGATTATGTTTATCTCCCATCTCTCCCTCAGAACTGTGATCTGTCAGGCTGTGATCTACAGGAAGCAAACCTCCGAGGCTCCAACGTGAAAGGAGCCATTTTTGAGGAGATGCTGACGCCGCTGCACATGTCACAGAGCGTGCGCTGACTGAACAAGTAATATAAAAGTCTTAAGTAAAGTTTAAAAAAGACTTTTGTCTTTGTCAGTATTTGAATTTGTTTATATAATAAACCATATTTATAATAAAATTGGTAGTAAGCTGTTATGGAGACTCCAGAAAAGTAATTATACATTTACTGCTCAGAGTCTGAGGTGTGTGCATGTGTGTTTGTCACTCATAAACACCAAAAAGAAAAAAAAAAATCAAAAAAGGGACTTTTCTTCTTGTTATGTTCTGACCTGTGTCAGTCAGTGAACCATTCAACTCTTCTGTTTGTAGATTTACACTGAACAACTCTTTTACACTGAACCAAAAAAAAAGTCAAACATTTTGAACTTCTCCAGTGCTGATGAAACATTATTATTTTTTACCTGTGTTTTTACCTGTCTCAGTTGTGAACAGTGATTCTACTGCTGACTGTGGCTTGTCTCTGAATGTGTGGCTGTCTTTACAATCAGAGTGTCAAGCAGATCCATTTCTCTGTTGAATGTTAAAACTTGTTTTTCTGTAAATGAGACCAAAAAACATTCTGTTTACAAACTGCTCATATGGATGATGATGATGATGATGATGATGCACTGTATTAAGAGTCCAATCCTGCTGACTGTCATCCACAGGACATTTGTATTTGAGTCAAAGTTACTACTCTGCTGCTGCTCCACCTTTGAAATGAACTGTTGTAAAACTCAAATGCTTTCTGCTGCGCTTTTATCAGGTGCCAATAATAAATGTTTTTAAATAAACATTATTTGTATTCTTTTACTTGACTCATCCTGACATCACAAGTATCAATAACATTGTTTCCATCTCTTCCTCTTCCTCTTTTTTCTTTTTTTCTTCTCGGTTTATTCTTCCTTTTTTTCTTCCTTTTCTATTCTTCATCAGCTTTTTCCATTCTCTTCACCTACTTAGTTCTATTTTTGCTTTTTTTTCATGTCTTCCTAATTTAAAATGTATTTGTGATTTTTGTTTGGTAATTTTCGATATTTTAGACTTTAGTGGTTGTGTTCCTGTATCACATACACAAACAAAAGACTAAATTGTTTTTAACTCCATCTCCCTTTTTGCTGCTCAGTTCCCTGTTGCTGTAGCTCCACCCCGCCAGCAGAGGGCAGATAGAGTCAAACTTTTACCTCTATTACCTCTACTATTATTTTAGGGTGAAAAAGGATGTCAATAATACACCAAAATTAAAATGAACAAAAAAGAAGGTTTTATTGTATATAATATGCCATTAAAGCAGGAAATACAGCTGCTTGAATTTTGATTGTGTTTTTTGATACAGCTGCTGAAAAAATACTGATAAGCAAAAGCAAAAATAAATAAATAAATAAAATATTAAAGTGTTTTAAAAAAACAAGTTGGAAAAAAACAACCTTTCCCAACATTTAAACACAAACAGGAGGAAGTGGTCGAGCTGTGAGGAATATTTTCAGCAGCACGATGTTGTTAAAACGCTACAGTTATTTTCTGTCACATTTGTTTACTATGTGACGGTGATGCTAAGGATGAAGGTTAGAGGGGTTGGAATGGGGGGTTCCATTTACATCTGCGGCTGTTTCGTTTACACACCTTTGTTTTCTCCAAATACAGGAAAAAATGTTGTTTGGAATTGTTTAGAATATAAAACACAAACAAACCCTAGTGAAAACAAAGGACCTGGTCCTAGACCAAAATAAACCTTCTGTGACTGTATTTCTGGCAGGCTCTAAAGCCTGCACTGATGTCAATGTCATGATTGATATTTGTACACCGTTCTTTGACATCACATTTTTAACCCGAGGTGAGCTGAGGCATTAACTTTAATCCTGTGAGTGACAAAGACCTTTTCTCGCTGGTTTCACCATTTCTTGACTTGTTCTTGCTGTTTCTTTGATGGGTGCACATGGGCTACATTGCTAAATACCACCCCAAGGGTTTCCAGTGGTACTACACCGAAAAATAACATCATTGTTTTATGCCAGCTTCTACCTGCTGGTCACCCTGTGTGGAGTTCTTAGAATATTTTAAAGAAATGTCCTTTCTGTGATCTGAGTTGTGGGGGAAGTGCACACAGTACCTAGTCCAGTTTCTGGCTTGGTTTCTGTGATGGAAACTTGTTGAGGACATTTCACATTTCACATATAGGTTCACTGTAAGATCCACCTGTTGAAGCCTGTGTAGGGATTGGGCTGCATTTGTTGGCCACATCGGGAGAAACTTGCTTCAGGCCATGCATTTGAGCCCATCTCCTCCTCGGGCCCCTCGCTGTGGCCAGGGCCCGTGCCTTGAAGGATGTCTGTTTATTCTGTTCTGCCATGACGCCCCCTGCCTGTTGGACCTGAATATAGACCTGGACAGTGTGGTTCCTGTGTTTCCTGTGCCAACCCCAGCAGGATGGTGTGGTGGAGTAAACACTGCTGTGGCCGGAGGAGTCTGATTAGACCGTCCTGCTTCAGGAACACACTCGGTTCTTCCAATCACAGTCTAATACACATCTGTAAACCACAGCCACTGTTGTACAAACAGTGATTTCACAGGTTACAGCTGCAGTTGATACTTTTAGACGCTCGGGGGCAGCAGAAGTGGGTAAACACAGAACGATTGGGCGAAAGACAAATGTTGATTTATTTCAAATGGGAAAACAAAGCTGACGTTACTTTGCTAACCTCTCAAGCCAGAGCTAATGCCGGAAAGCTTCACCTAGTTTTTGACCCACTACTACCCCGTCACTAAGGTTGTTTTGTGACATAAATGGTTAAAACCTCACTGGTACAAGTTGACCGTAAGTTGACCAGTAAACCCCGTGTCCTGGTGAGCTAAAATCGCAGATTGGACTTTGGCGTACTGTATGTCAGTGATGGCACATTATTCAGCTGTAAATCCATGGAAAAACTGAGATCATTGGGAATTTTCACTTCACATTAGCCCTTCATGCACCGCAGGTTATCATTTCCCTTGAATCTAAGACAGACAGAACCAAACACTGTTGCTTCAGCTCTGTGGCTCTGTGGTCAGTCAGTGTTTGTGATGAAGTGGTCAGTGTGAGCACACCTCAGAGCTGAGTTGGCTTTTTGTGGGTCTTATATGGTGCAGAGCCTGCACTCAGATGTTTATTCTGCAAGACGATGAAATCTCGTTCTATAGAGAATCTCAAAGCACAAGAAAAACCCAAACTGCATGGGTTTTTAAACAGGACAAAACGAGACGTTCTGTCTTTCAGCAAATGTCAAAGACAGAGCTGAGAATCCTCTTTTAGTAATATTTTGAATAGTTTATGGTCAGATCTGTATCCAATTAACCCAGATTATGTCACGTATTTATGTACTTCACTTAATTACTTCACCTGGTATACTTATATATACCAAGTGTACTTGGTATACTTGTGTGGACTGCACATCTGCACGCCTGGTTCCACCTGTTCTACATGGCCTGTGTGCACAGTGTTTATTACATTAGTGATGTACAGCTCAATCTGTCCACTTCAGCGTGTAAACACTCTGCTGTCACAGCAGGATATATAAGTGCAGTGATCGTAAATGTGTCGACACGTGCACAGCCGGGCTGTAAATAAAGTGCACGTCCAGAGCTGCAGCAGCCAGGCTGAAAAATTAAACACTAATAACAGACGCAGCTCCAGTCCTGATGGCTGAGCTTCTTGATGTGGGTGGATGTGCATGGGTGTGTGTTAGTGTGTGTGTGTGTGTGCGTGTGTGTGTGGGATGTGGCTTTCTGAGCTCAATGAGGGAACATTTTCTACAGGCCAAATAAAGCTGCCCGAGTAAACTCCACATTCCAGAGAGTTTGTGGTGCGTCTGTCTCAAACTCACTTTTATGAAGGGAGGAGGCTGCATGGGTGTGTATGTGTGTGTATATGTATGTATGTATGTATGTATGTTTGCATGTATGTGAATGTGTGCCAGCTGGTGTTTAAAATAATGTTGTGTTGGTTTGCGTTTGCTGATAAAGCTGCTAAAGCTTCAGAAACTGAAGTCCATTACGAAAATCAGTGATTTTAGCTCACAGAAACACAGCTGCAGAGCCACTGTCACCTCTGGTGGTCAGGTTGTCACCAAAGATGATCATTATTTTAAAACTAAAGTCACAAAATAACCTCCAAGTTTTGGCTCCACAACAATCTGCCTCAGGCTGCAGCATCTCTCAGGAGGTTCCACTGCTGTCCTTCAAAGAACCACACTCTGGTCATGACTAGATTACAGACCACACACAGGGCGTTATCACACACACACACACACACACACGCATGCACACACACACACAAAGCTCTGTCATTACAGTCTGAACATCTCGATAAAATTATACATTCTCTTCTCCTGGACCATCAGGGAGACTCCAAGTTCTCCAGATCTGCTGTGGTTTCACCAGCAGAACAGAGAACTTCAGCCTGGAGATTCAAAACAGGAACATTCTGAATTTTTTAAATAAAAAAAACCCTAAATATTCTAATAACATTCCATTTATGCATTTAGCAGATGCTGTTATCCAAAGCGACAATCAAGCTACATACATAGAGGAACTCTTGAAAAGAGAGTGCTATTTAGTAAAGTGGGACTTCTTAACTAGGGTGGAGATACGTGCAGAAGGAGAAGGGAAATATCCAGGAAAGTGCTAGAGGAGGAGGTGCTCTTGGAATAGTTGGATCTTCAAGAGCTTTTTGAAAATAGGCAGGGATGTTCCTGTTCTGGTGGTGCTCCATTTCTCATTCCACCAGCGTAACATTTGGCTCTATGTCAACTAACATGACATGTATTTTCCCACCTAACTCATTATGATATTCGGTATGTGTGTTTCTGTTTGAATGTTTTCTAATTTTTCTGTATTTACTTTGGCTTACCTTTGGCCAGTGGTCCCCACACCTTTTTTCTTGCTCCCGCTTTAGTATGTAGGACTACTGCCCCCCCCCCCCCACATTAACACCTTCACAGCTGCTGCTTTAAATTTACACTAAACTTGATTTAAACACAAAATCTCCTAAAAATAATCTGCTATTCTCATTGGACCAAGGGAATGAAATCATAAAACAGTACAATCTCTCCAAACATCTTTTTAAAAATGAAATTGTGTGCCCAGCTGCAACCCCACTTCCCACCACCTACTAGATCGCTTGTGCTCTGCAAGGGGACCTGCCCCTCACTTTTGGAACCAGTGCCTTTAACTATGAAGCTGAAATTTGTCTTTTGAGCTAATGTAAAAAGCTGTGGTACATGGAACATACATTTTCTTCCTTGAATGTGAGGTTTTCCTGTTGAGTAAATATGGAGCTCCTGCTTTGGTCCCAGGACAGCAGTTTACAAACAAGTGCAGGTGGAGTGGTAGGGATCAGACTTTCCCTCTGTTTGTCTTCCAGGTTTCCCCTTCTGTTCTTCTTCTGGCTCTTTGGTGTTTAAACTCACACAAATAAGGTATTTTTAAAGCTTCTCTCTCCTCTAATGGCTCCAGCACCTGTGTTTTTGCTGTCAAACACAGCAGGAGTTAAACTGAGCCTGAGTTTGGTGAACAGGAATGTGAGTCTTTTCTGTTTTTTTTTTTCTTTTTCGGACTGGTTTGTCCTGGCTGTGTTCTGGTGTGTCCAGAGCCTGGGGTTTGGCTCTGGCTCCAGGTCTGGGTGGGTCCAGACTGGTCTGACTGTGTGGTTTAACAGGGTCAGTAGTTAGCACTGGGGCTGGGTCTGCTGTGGCTTTGGCTCAGTGTCTCAGCGAGACATCTGCTTCTCGTGAGACACTTTAGAGACATGAGAGCTGAG